AAGCTAGTAGGTGCCAAGCAATCCCTGATAATGTGGTTCATTAGGATAACATTCTGCAGTCGCAGCTACAAGCAAGTTTCCAAGTCTGTAGTGTCATCTTCTTACTGCAAGATGGGGCTCTGGGAATTGCTGTTTTCTCCATGGCACTAGCAAGGAGGTAAACCACATTGGAATGCTTTCTAGTTCTCAATGAGAAGCAGTTACTCCTTAGCCATTCACTAACCGCCATCAACTTCAAAATGTGGAAAGCTTGAGTTTGAATTTACCACAGAAACTAAGGGGCATAAAACAGTGTGTGTGGGTGGAGGGAGGAGGGAGCAGAGGGGGTTCCTAGCCTACTGCTTTCAGCAATGTAAGATGGCATTTCCCAGAAACTTCTCCACAATTACCCCCCAAACCAGAGCCTTTAGAGTATTATTTCTGGCTGTGCACAAAGGGTCTTACTATATCCTCTAGAATGTGTAACTTAAGTATATGTTTTCTTCCTTATTCAAGAATAATGTTATAGGTAGCCCTGGCTGGGTGGCTAAGTTGGTTGGAGCATCATCTCACACAATAAAAGACCGTGGTTTGATTCCCAGTCAGGGCATATAACTAGGTTTTAGGTTTGACCCCACGTCAGGGCACATACAGGAGGCAACTGATCAATGTTTCTCTCTCACATTGATGCTTCTCCTCCCGCCCCCCCCCCCCGCCGCCCCTTCCTCTTTCTCTAAAATCAATAAGCATATCCTCAGATGAGGATTAAAAAAAAAAATGTGGGTGGGTGTAGAATAATAGGCCCAGAGATGAGAAAAGACTACTTATATCTGGAAATGTAGAAGGAACAGCATTTTCTAGGTCCATGGTATAGGTAATTTTTAGTATTTTAAATAAATGTGATCTCAATGGATAAACTAAGTCCTCTACTGCTAAACAGATTTATACTGATTTCAAGTGCTCTGAGTCTGTAACCTACTCAATCTGTCCAGCAATATTATAGCTGTTGCTTAATAATAGTGGTCAAACTAAACTTACAATGAAATTTGAACTAGAAAGAAACACCTAACTATGGCTATTTCTGCTAACACAGAGTTAGGCATCCAGATAAAAAGCTTTGGACAGAACTCAGAGGTACCATCTTTTCAAGTGACCCGAGTGAACACAGCTCAGAGATGCAAGGCTCTTGCAATAACATCTCCCCAAGAAACAGGGTTGATATGCTAAATAGCAAAACACATGACTCAGCTTAGAGAGAAAGTTAAGTGTTTAAAATATGGGGGAGAAGGGGATATTATGTAATACTTGAAAGTGAAAATTTAAGGCTTTTCCCCCATGATAAAACTGTAATTAAATCTTATTTAACTGTTTCCTCTAATGACATCCATTTTAATTAGGTTTTAATAAACTGGCAGCCACAACCTATAGTTTTAAAAAGCAAAGTAAAATTACAGTCTAGGAAACATTTAAGGCGAAGAGACCCATCAACACAGATGAGAGGTTACAATATATCCCCTCATACCGAAAGACCCCCATGGTAATTAAGTTTGCTGAATAGACAGCCATTAGGGCTAACCAGTAGGTGTGCTCGCCACCAATGGCACTGGGCTGTTCTTCGAAATCCCAAGTAGTATCTGTGATCTGTTTTCCAGAAAATTTGCAAGTCTCAGAATAACAAAAGCAATTCAAGAGGTGTGTGTTCTATAGCTCTACTAGCTGTGTAGCCTCTGTCAAATGTGCAACTTAGCTTCTACCACTGCAAGGGGCTTTCTGTTTTAAGATTTTAATACACACATTTTCTATAGTTGATCATGACACAACACTCCTCTTGAGAAGTCTGCCTTATGCTTAAGAAAATGAACATTCATGTAGAGAAAGTAAAATTAATATATGAAAAATTGATTCACATATAAGACAAAGTATCTGCAAATGAGATGCACTAAACAGAAGCTTAATATTCATTTGTATTTATTTCATATGACATTATGAAAATCAGGGAGTAAATCACAAAATTAACTCAGACCAAATGAATATCATAGGCACTAATTTTAGAAAAGAAGAACTGAGCATAATTAGTTCCTTTGTTAGCCAGAGAATGGGGGAAGAAATTGGGCCTGTTGCTACCTCAAAAAAAGTTTACATATATTTAACTGAAAGAGAGAAAAAGTTAAGTGACTGCTGTTTTTTAAAACGAATTTTAAATCAACAACACTTAAATTTTAATAAATTACATATACTCAGAATATTGTAAATTTGGGGGAGGAGGAATATCTATCCTATAAAAAAAAAATTTGTAATCTGGCCAAGATGCCTCCAAACCCCTCTGCCAAGCAGCAGAGTTACTTAGCCAAGATAGTCTTACTTGTACACTTTCGTCAGAGTAAAGCTTTCATGCCAGGAAATATTTTTTTCTGGTTTATTGGTCATTGCCAGAAATGGACCCATCGAACCCACCAGTGCTAAGGAGTTAAGCATCTGAGATTTAATTTAACAGTTTCAGCTTTATTAAGCTGTCACAGAGCAGCCCCACTTTGATAACAGTAGCTGCTCCAATTATGGCTTGGTTTAGGGTTGACAAGTGTAATGATTCATTCGTGGCACATGAGAAGCAATAAAAGGTTGTTTTGCATTACAGCTTTAAAAATGTGGGCACTTTTTTCATTTAATTTGTCACTTAGCTTTTGCTAAGAGGACATTTAAATTGCAGTAAAAGGCAAATGGGGCTTTTAGTTTAAATGTAATCCCCATATTTAAATGATCTGTAATGGCGCAGTGTTGGAGTGGGAACACTATTGTCTCACAGTGGGTCCTGATGGTGACATGTGACATTTGTATTCAAGTCCTGTATTATCCATGTGGCTAAAGGGCTTCCAATTTCATTTCACAGCCAGAAGCCTGCAGAAAACACCAATTAACTTGCAGATCCCATTTGCCGACAAAACTCAGCCTCTTCTCAATGTCTGGCATCTGGCAGTGCTCAGCATTTAATTCCAGAGCAGAGCCTTGAAGCAATGTGAGCCCAGTGCAGGGGCACAAAGTCAAATTCCCCCATTTTATTAAGAACCAAAATCCTTTCCCTTTGTAGTCCAGAAGCAACTTTTAGTTAATTTTTTGGTGAATGAATATTAAGATGTGATAGCTATTGTTCTAAGTAGGATTCTTCACAGAGCTCAGACCCCATTAAAACAGCAGGTGACCTCTGCTCACCACCAGAACACATAGGAGAATTTATAGCAGTCTAGTAATTATTTGGGGATGGGGTGTGATAAAAGAAAACATAGGGCAAGAAGATGTACTCTTCATCCTGGACTGAAACCAAACTTGAATAGAGCCTGGTCCATAATTAGAAGGTCATCAGAGGGTATAACTAGAATCAGCTCATGGAAACTTGCACCCAATGAGAATTTATACTTTTGATTAAGGGTTGAGGTACATAATTTTCAAAACCAACTTGGAAAAGTAAGATGTGACTAAGGGATTAAATGTGAACTATACGAGTTTTGGCTATATCACTTGTATTTATTTGATAACCAAAAAATTTAGTTGGTATTTTCTTCTTACTAGTTATTTGTAATCCTAAGCTTTTCTAAGTACTAAAGTTCTTTAAATTTTATTCATTTAATATTAATCCAATAATGTTTTCTTAAATGATTCCCTTCATTATAGTTTTTTTAATGCTAGTCCTTTTTACCATCATAAACCAACTACTGAATTCAACATTTACTGTAACAAAATTGAGGATGGTTTACTTAGGAAAGTCAAACACTCAGTATTCTATAAAAATAGTTGTTTAAACCATGCATTATGCCTATGTTTTCTAACCACTACAGCATGCTCCCAAACATCCCTCCAATACACTGAAACTATCTACTGACATTACAGATTAATTGGGGGGAAAGGCCATCGCCTTTATTCTTTCAGGTCCCCAAGGAAAATACCAAGATTAAATTGACATTTACCAAGAGTTGCCATCCACAGTCAAGTTCCTGAACACACATTCTATTAATGGGAAGAAAACTTGCATGTCAAATTCTTTACCAACTTGTTGTATAACCCTACGTCATATAATGTCATCTTATGGAAGTCTCCTAACCTCCTCAGAATTTAGTTTCCTTATCTGTAAATGAGTTTATCTCAAAAGTCCATTCCAATTACTATGACCATGTGGCATCTTCATCAGCAAGTTTCACTTGGTCTAGAACAGACGTGGGATCAATCAGCAGGATGTGTTCCCCATCATTAGGCAAGATGAAGACAGGTATGAAGATGTGAAGACTTCTACTACTCAACTGCATTTAGACTAGGATGTTTTAGTAAATATACCTAGAACTTAAAATTAATACAAACACAATAAAGTACTGGTTAAAAATTCCACTTGCCACATAGACTCCTTAATAGAAAGACAAAATAATAAGTAAATTATTAATTCTTTAGCAATGAGCATTAGGTAACAAGAGTCATCCCCCAACATTTCCCAGTGAATTTCGACAGCTGTTTCTCATTTTTTTCAACCACCTGCTGTATTAGTATCTTTACCACCAAGGATTTGGAAAGCAATAAAAATTAGAGTCTGCTCTATATTTTTCATTCTTATGATCATTAGTTCATTTTAGTCTATAACAGTCAAAATATAAAATGAATGTTCAAACTACTTTTGATATTTTTAATGTAGGCAAAAGGGAAAAACAGCCAAATTTTAGCTGAATTGATCACAATATTACTCTAGAAACAAAAAACTTTTATACAAAATACTTATTCAAAGTAATACAGTTTTTCAAATATTTAAAGGCTGATTCCTGTGCTCACTTTCCTTAAGATCAGACAGTTCCCTCCAAACCCTGCCAAGATTGTTTCCTGCAAAGTTCTTATTCTCCCTATCTTCTACCCAGTATATAATGGCAACAAGTTCATATAGGAGTAGCGCTCTCTCTTCAGCAATACACTGATCATGCTCTTTAAACATTCAACACAGTCTTCATCCATATAACTCAATGGCAATCTGTCAGGAAACTTATATTTACCCAGTTCATCCCAGAGCTGCCTGTATTTGTCAGTCATCGCAGTGCCTTGTTGCCTCCAAAGTGACAGACGAGGATCAGCCATGAATTGCTCTGTTATCAAGGTCAACATGCGGGCCCCATTAGAGTCCCTCATCTTCAGCATCTCCCGAACCTAGTGGGGGGAAAAAACAAAACAGACTTTTAAAAAAATGTTCAAAACAAATAGCAATACAGAGACAGATCACTTTTCTTGGGGGGGGGGGGGGGAGCAGTTAATTCTCAACACCAACTCTCTTAAGCAAACAAAAGTTGTTAAAACTGGTTTCTACCCTAAATGGTAATTGAATCAAAGAACTGACTCTTAGTTTTTCTATATTGTTTTAGAATCCACACAAGGAAAGAAATTTGACTAACTTCCAATTCAAAAAGAAAAATTGCTAGCTTCCAGAAAAACAGTATCAAAACCAAGAAGACAAATCATTTGGCATCTTCCTGACTCTCCAGTTGATTGCACTTCCCACCAGAAGAGGTGAGCCTAAAAAGCAAGCTACTAAGAACTCTTTAGGGATCTTCTGAATTGACCTAATGATGTTTATAATAGCATCTGTCCTGCAGTTTTTTAGAAACAGTTTTATTGAGACAACATTCACATACATACAATTCACCAATTTAAATTGTGCAATTCAGTGGTTTTTAGTATATTCAGAAAGTTGTGCAACTCTTCAATTTTTGAGGTAAATTAGTAATTTCAGTAAGTTCTCTCTCACCCCAAGTTCTGTGGCATAAAGAACAGTATCATATTCACTTCGATGGATTGTTTTTGCAATGGTAAAAGGAAAGTGAACAGGGCTGTAGGTTCAAGAACTCTTTTGGCTCTAAACAAGCAATCCACGAAGCAGAATCATGATCAGGGCCCTAGGAAGTTCTCAGTCTCTCACGCTGGAACCTTAAGCTCTCTGTCCATTACTCTTGTGCTACATTTCCAAAATAAAAGGAAGAAAAGAAACACAAGGCTAACAGGAAACCCTAAATGAAACCATCCTTTCCAAAAGTGCACAGCTATGCTTTCAACAAGAATCCCAGCTGAATACCAGCAGTTCTCTCTATAGGAAATTCCTAGAGCAAGGTCATGAACAGTGAAAAAGGAGAAGTGGGTCCTTTGATTCAAGATTCTCTTTGTGAACAGCAAATGAGGAGGAAATAGCAGATCTTCAATAAAGCATCTCAAACCTCCAGATGAATACATCTTGCCTCAGGCTGGTACCCTAACAAGTGATGGAATCCCCTCATAGGTTCTAGAATTTGAGCACTTCTACAGTAAACCACAAGGGTTGTGCTTCCAGGAAGGTTATTTCAGTAATCTTAAAAAGGAGTTTATTACTAATATGAAAGCACTAAAAATTCATGAAAAGATGAATATTGGAAGAGAAGGACTTGCCATTTATTGTGCATCATACTTAAAAGTTTTTTACATTTATACTTACCATTTAATCTTTATAACAACCATATAAAGTAGGCCAGATTATAATCCCCATTTTATGAATTATAAAACCAAGTTAAAGTACAAAGGGTTAAAGGGGTCAAATATATGGTGACAAAATCAGAACCCAGATCTGTCTTAACTCTACTGAATACTAAAAGTTATGCCATTCCCAAAATTAGAAGTTGATGTTACTTCATATGTCATATGTAATATATACATCATATACAGATAAAAACTACTAATGAAGGCCAGTCTAACACCTCTTTCACATTGCTTCTACTAGGCCACAGTGTATTCTGCTGGCATGAGACTATGAAATACTTTCAGTGTGTCTAAATATACTAAAACTTTAATAGTTACCACTATATCAAGTTTGATTTAATGTTTTCTTTCCTGATAAATTTCTAACCTATTACTCAGCTAGAAATAACAATGAAAATAAGCACTAGTAAGCATATAAACCAGTACTATTAACCAACATGCCAGTACTACATCTATAGCGTAATGGTAATTAACTTTCAGACTGTTGACTCTGAGGCATTAAAGGAGTTTGAAGTGCCTATGAGTTACTAAAGATGAGTAAATCATGTGTGGAATAGTTTTAGAGTTAAGTATATTTTTTTAATCTAATCATCAGAAAACTGGCAATCTCTGTACGGTATATGCCGCAAGGGTGGAGAACCTTTTTCTGCCAAGGGCCATTTGGATATTTATAACATCATTCTCAGGCCATACAAATTATCAGCTTAAAAATTAGCCTGTTATATTTTGTCAAACATTTAATTAACTTACCCCTCATGCCTTGGCAGGGCCAGACCAAATGATTTTGTGGGCCTTATACAGCCCATAGGCTGGAAGTTCCCCACCCCTGGTATATGGAATAAGTCTTTATTAAGAGAATATGATGAATACACTATTTTTTGGTCATAACTAGTAACAGAGTTTACTCTAATTCTTCTGAACTGAAAGACATCTTTTAATTATTATGAATATTAGAAAGATTATTTAACAAAAGTATCAATGTACAATTATCTGTTCCCTTAAAGCCAATCTGAATATAATACCAGTAATGATGGCTGTAACTCCAATGAAAAAACAATGATTTAATATGATTAAAAAAGCATTTTATCCAATATTTAGATTTGTGTTTGTGGTACTAAAAGTTCTTATAAAACAACAGATACAACTTTTGCTCACACAGAACTTATAACAAAGCTAACTTTGTTTCTTAGGTCATCAAATTTTGGTGATGAAAATTAACATTTACCAAGGCCCAAATACATGTTAGACACCATTATCATTTAACACCATGATAACAACTTGAGGAGATATGCTACTATTAGCTAATTTTACAGATGAGGAAACTAACTTTAAAAACTTTCCAAGTTTCACCACTTAGTAAGATTTTGAACTTAGATCTAAACCCTGGTCTATATGACTTCAAAGTCTATGCTTTTAAAACAAATTTAAAGATACTGACATTATTAAACTAAAAATATAAAGCACCTTTTAAGGGCTATATTCAAGATACTGGGGAAATTAATTAGAAAAAGACAAAACGGCATTTTAAATACCATTAAGGTATTTATTTTGGCTTTAGTATGGGAATGTTATTTCAAAATTGTATAAATTGTCACAATTTTATTAATAGGAACTGAGAGAGAAAAAAGGGTTCCGCATCGTGTCTAGTGACATCTAAGCAAATTAATACTTGTGTTAGAACACAGAAGTTTCTAATTGATTAACTTAGAATGTATTCTTAAAAAAAATATTCAAAAGACAAGTCTTTACACTATTGTAAACATGATCATATAAAGATACCTGCTGTATTTGTATATATATAGAATATTTCTTTAAAAATAAACAATCATACCTTTGCAAAGAGCAAATTAAGCTGCTTCCCTGATCCGTGGTACCCGCCCTGGGAAAGGAACAGTTTAACCTGTTCTTGAACCTGCTCTTCATCTAAGTGCCAGCAGTTTTCATCATCTATACTAGCACCTGCTGTTGGATCAGGAGCACCTAGAAATAAAAAGAAAAAATAACACATATGCTAGATAAAGGCTGTGCTAAAAGGGCTCTGATAATAAACTTGAAAAGAATTAAGATTATGTACTCTTTGCCTAAACACTTTTTAATCCAATCTCAAGTCAATTACACATACAAATTTATGACTTAAAATAAATACAAGAGGCATTCTTGTATTTCCTGGATTTTCCTAATTTATGCTAAGCCAAAATGCAGATTACTTTAGAACTGAAATATTCCCATTTTTTAAGATCAGAGATTCTACCTTTGGAGATGAGTTTACAAGTTCTTTAAAGAATAAAAAAGTCACAAAAGTGTCTCATTGTAAATACGTGATGTTTATAAACCTCTACTGTGTAGGACATGTTAAGAAAATGTTTTTCAAAGACTTAGAAAAACATGAAACCAACTAAATTCAGCAGAGTATTTCTCTCTTTACTATATTAATTCAAGAAGCCTTCACCATTATCTGCTGCTGTATAAACTACATGCTGACAAAACTGAAGATTAAAAAGGGAAATCAAGCCACATGGGAACAGGCAGTGCAGCTGTTGTACTAAACCAGGTTGTAGTATCACCTTGCCAAACTGCGTAAATATTTTATTGCTGAAGTACATACAAAAGATAATAGCTATGTAATAAGCCCTGTATGTAGACTACCTTAGAAATTAAAAATCACCCACATATTTAGGCAGGTAAAAATTATGTTTCATTATTTATTAATAAAATAATAACCAGGATCCATTAGTCCTGAGGAATAAGACAGTAGGTCTATAAACCATTCTGGGAAGGTGTGCTTTCATTCATTTGTTCAGCCAGCATATATACTGAGTGCCCTCTGCTAGATTTGGGAATGGAATGGTTTACAAAATATATAGAATTCCTATCCTCACAGAATTTATCATCTAGTTCAATGGCTTTCAAACTCTTTTTAACTAAGATCCATAATAAGAAATACAATTTACATCATACCAATACACCTATGTATCTGGGTGCTTATGTGATCACATCTATCTATTAATCTGAAGGACAGTATGATGAAAAAATACCCTTACTATAAGTAAAGAGGTCTGGTATTTTCTATTCCAGTTCCTTTTTTTAAAGATCTTGTCATAATTTTAAAAACTGATTTCATAATCCCTTAGGGGTTGCAACTCACTATATAAGAAACACTTTTTAGTGTATGGGGTAAATATCAATCTAATAATCACACATACAGATATATAATAACTAGTGCCCCGGTACATGGATTTGTGCACATTGAAAAAATTAATTAGAGGGTGGCTGGCAGGGCAGAACTGGGCAAGACAGGTGGACACTCCCTGGAGCCAACCTCCTGTGGTCCCTCCCTGGCCGGCAGCACCTGGGGCGGTGCGTGGGGTCCCTCGGCCTGGCCTGTGGGGAAACGGGCCAAAACTGGCTCTCTGACATCCCCCAAGGGTCCCGGATTGTGAGAGGGCAGTTCTCCGGTGACACACCCTGGAATCGGGCTCCTTCCTCTCTGGTTCCGGGTGCGTCACCCGAGAACCGCCACTGCCAAGTCACCACAGCTCGGCAGCTCCTGCGTTGAACGTCTGGGTCTGCATGTGAGACTAAGAGCTCCTGCAGAGGTCTCAGGTGGGAAGGGATGTGGTATGTAGAGTAAATAAAAGATAGTTCATGTCCAAGGAACAACAAAGTAGAGGATGAGGGAAAAAGCAATACAAGACAACCCTGGAGAAGAGAAGAAGGGCCAGACCCTGAGAACCCTGGCAAGTGATCTCAGTTTTCCCCCCTTAGAGTAATGAATGGGAATTCATGACAAGGTTATCCAAACTGAAAGAATGGAATACTCTAGACCAGCGGTTCTCAACCTGTGGGTCGCGAACAATGAAAATACATCCTGCATATCAGATATTTACATTACGATTCATAACAGTAGCAAAATTACAGTTATGAAGTAGCAACGAAAATAATTTTATGGTTGGGGGTCACCACAACATGAGGAACTGTATTAAAGGGTCGCGGCATTAGGAAGGTTGAGAACCACTGCTCTAGACAGTAAAAGATGTTTTGTCCTGATGTACATCAATTTCAATATTTGTACCATGAAATATTAAGCAGCCATAAAAATTAATGAGAAGATTCTCTATGTACTACAATGGAAAGATATCCAGCATATACTGTTGATTGGGAAAAAATAACAAGATGAAGAAAACTATATATAGTGTACCATTTTTTTTTTTTAGTTTAAACTCTTTATAGTTTAAAGTATTACATATGTCTCCTTTTTCTCCCATTAACCTCTCCCTGGCCATCCCTACCATCTTTTTAATAAACAATAAAGTTTTAAAAACAGCTTGTGTGTTAGTATTTTCTTACATATGCATAAAATATCTTGAAAGAATGTTTAGGATGAGTAACAGTTTCATGAGAAGAGGAGGCTCTTCACTGAGTACCTCTTCATACTTTCAAATTCTGGAACCATGTGAACATATTTATGTATCTAAAAAGTATCACTCTAAAGTGTGAATGATTGGGAAGCAAAAATATATGAGAACAGTGAGGATGAGATTTTGATGGTCTGTACAAAGGATGAAGTGGTCGCTTGAAAAACAGCAGTGAGAACAGAAATGGAGAACTAAATAGGACAATCAATAGGACTTGAAGAAGTGGATATGTGAGGTATGGGAGATCAAGGGTTGAGAGACATACGGGTTTTTAGATTAAACAACTGGACAAGATATTGTAAACTCACTGATACACAGACCATTGGAGCAGGATCAGGTTTGGGGGTAGGAGGGGCAGTGTTTAGGTCATGAGTTCACATTTAGATGTGGTGAATTTGAAGTACCTTTGAAATAGCCAAGAGAGAGGACAGGATATCAACAGGGTATCCTGTTGTAGGTAGTATGGGATAAAAAGAGCATCTAACATGAAGCCCAACATTTAAAGGCTGGGAAAGAGAATCAGCAGGATGGCAATGGGAATATGTGGTCTATTAAGAAGACCAGGAGAGATTGCTCTTTTGGAAGGCAGAGAAAGCTGTTCCAAGTAGGTACTAGGTAGAAATTTAAGCCCCCAGAGAGCAAGGATTTTATCTGCCCTGCTCACGACTGCTTCCTAATACCTAGCTAGTGTTTGTCACTGTCAGGCAATCAAGTATTGGGAAGAAGAAGGGGAAAGAGGGAGGGAGAAAGGCATGCATATGACTCCTATCAAACAGGAACCACTGCTAGTGTCTTCAAACACATTATTTCACTACCTCAGTTTCTCTTCACAATGTCCGCCGGAGATGAGCATAGATTATGATCCCTGTTCTAGAGAGGAGAAACAGGTTAGGAGTTGTTATGACTTATCCTCAGCCACAATGCCAAATCCAGTCTTATTCTCTCCCCTGGGGAAGAATATATCCCAGAACCTTGGAACTAAAGTTTGAATCCAGGAGGCATCAAGGCAAGGATTATGAACCGTAAATTAAAGATAAATTTAAGGAATGACACAGATGTTTGTAGGCATCTGCTAGCATGGTTCTCTTGTACAGGAAGATTTAAGGATACAACAATGATGTGAAGAGTTTACTGGGGCTACATCTGTATCCCACAGGGATTCAGAGTCCCTAATCCAGCCAATTGCCTAGATTCTAGGAAAAGACAGACACAGAACACACAGAGACTGGCAGACACGTGCATTCATCAGAAGAGACTTCCCAAACAACTAAACTATAGAGTCTCAACTTTTATATTTTAACTCTTCCCAATATCTTCCTAAAATCCTGGGATATCTGGCATGTCCCTTCTTATCCTCTTCTTAGAGAAAACTCTGACAAGGTACTGATTATGCATTCCTCACTGTTCCTCTGATTTCTACCCTCAGAATGGTTATTTCCCCCAATTTTTATGATTTTAAAATTGTTTTCTATTGGAAACTGCAGGCACAGACCTACAAGGAGTCCTGCCTCAGAAGGACATGGATGGGGGCTGACTGTCCTGTGGTGTGAGGGAGTTGTGCTACCCTTCGCTGCTTGGGTCAGAGCTCTATGAGGCTTGGAGTTTCTGTTTGCCACAGAAATATCCAGTTATTTTAAGTAGATTTTAATTTGGTTTGGAGAAAATCCTAGGCTTCTTCTTGGCTTAAAGTGGCAAATGAGTTAACATTCAGATACCCTCCCAAACTTCAGGATATACTCAATTCTTGTATTTTTCATACTAAGAAAGAGAAGTACTAGGAATAATAATCAGGAATCACTTTTATTTGACTTGAATTACACAATGAATTTTTCCTTATAATCTAGTAGGTTTTAAAACACTATCATATTTTTTAAATATATGACAGATTTAAAATGCCTTTAATGAATCATTTAATTTACATGCATACAGATTTTTCTTCTTGTCCATCTTGAAAGACATCTAACAGCAAATGTCTAACCACATGAAATTATGTTTCTCAAGTTCTTAAGGAAATCAAGTTGTGGTTTTTATTGGGGGGCTGTGAACTAGTATTAGAATTAACATTTCTTTCTTTCTTTTTTTTCTTTATTTCAGAGAGGAAGGGAGAAGGAGAGATAGTAACATCAATAAGAGTGAATCATTAATCGGCTGCCTCCTGCATACCCTACACTGTGAATCAAGCCTACAACCCAGGCATGTGCCCTGACCAGGAATCAAACTGTGACCTCCTGGTTCATAGGTCCATGCTCAACCACTGAGCCATGCCTGCCTGGCTAAACTTAATTTACTTCTTGAGCAAATGGGGGAGGGAGGAGGCAACGCAGAGGAAAAATGGCCAAAGACAAAATTTTACTGCAAATAGGCTAATAAAGTCTCCACACAAGTTGCGAGGACGTGTGCGGTTCCTAATCCTGGATTAGAATTGAGAAGTCTTCAGTTCTAGGCTCAGTTTAGAAAAACCGTGTCCTCCAGAAAATCACTTAAGCTCCTTAGGTCTCCATTTCCTCAACCCTAAAATTTATAATGTAGGGATAAAAAATTAACTAGATAATAAAAGTTAGAAAT